CTGTGGTATCCGGTTCTGAAGTTATTCTTGAATGTAAAGTTGTTGGGAAGCCTGAACCAGTAATCACTTGGTACAAAGATGGCAAGAAGTTACTTCTTGAAAATCGGATGCTGCAATCATTGGATCGAAATGGTACTATTTTTCGTAAGATATTGCAGACTAAATCAGCATATTTCATTTCTGGTTCGCATCAGAAAGATATATGATTTCAGGTGGTGTACGGCTTAACATTATGAATGTTCGTGCAAGTGACAGTGGCGAGTACTCGTGCGAAGCAGCTAATGCACTAGGAAAAGATTTGACTCAGTGCAACCTAAAAATCATCGGTATTTGTTTTACAAATTTGGAGTAGTTTAAAGCATACTTTCCAGTTCTTTTTCAATTTCTTCGTTCAGTAATCCGCCACCTGCATATAGCATGTGATTTATCAAAAGCTTCAATGTATTTCGATGACCCTTAGTTTTTTTTGATACCTTTTTACGATAATTCACCGCCCTCCCATCAGCTAAATTTTCCTGCTTCAACGATTTTACTGCTCCCTCACTTTCTGTGCATTATAGACGTGCAGCCACAAACCAAGTCGAATATTACTAAGGTAGTCATTTCCATTCAGCGAATTGCCGCTTGCCGATAACCATCACAATAGGGAATGCTTACTGGCATATAGGGCCAGAGCGACTAATTTTTGGATAGCCTGTTTGATTTGTACGCCAGGGGATTTGAAGCACATCGCCGACCAACACGAGATTCTGCGCTAAATCCAGTTGACGTTCTTTGGTTTAGAAAATCACTACCCAGCTGCTGCGACCCTTACGCAAAATCGCAACTCTACCACACTTCCTAACAAATTCTTTTAGGTATTTTACGTAATCGTTGTGAGCCAGCTAATGCCATCGACTCTTAACTTAAATAGTCAAGACGAAAACTGTTCGTTCAATGCCAGTGATAAAAATAAAAAAGCATTATCTGAGAAGTTTTCGGTGCAACTTCGGCAACAAAAATGCATAATTCTGAATTTTCAGTATTAAAAAAAACGGCGTTACTACCAAAAGTTTTTTTTATTATTTTAGTTTTATTTTACAAATTCCAAAAAGCATTATGATAATACATACCCATGCTGGAAGGAACAAAATAAGAAATACATTTTTTACGTGGCATTCATTTTTAGGCACCAAATTCTTTGTTAAAAAAGAACCTGACTGGGCGCTTTGGAAATGTACGTGACCAGGTTTCTTGCAGATACGACAACAATCGCAGAGGAATCGGTGCTGGAAGAATTGCGAGTGTCTGTGGTTGAGGCAGATTTGAAAGCGCCAGTAATCACTCGTCCACTTAGGGATGCTATTGTTAATGCAGGTAATCGAATCTGAGCGAAGCAATAAGATATTTTCGTTTCCGAATTTTTTGCAAACAGTGTGGAAAAAAAGTTCCACTTATTCGCGTATCTGGTAAATTTAGTGCCGGAAATAGACTGAAATTAGGTTTCTTTTTCCTAAGCACTTGCCTTATTCTGGCGCGAGGAATTTCCAGCAGAACGCAAACAATGGGCCACAACTGCCAAAGGACTGATTGTGCTTGATATTACGTGTATATGAAACCGTATAGCTAGGATTAGTAACTGAGGTGGATAGAACCGAAAATGGCAGCACCCGCAGTCTCATTACTGCTCGTTGGTGCCGAATTATTCGCGCAGAAAATTTGCGGGTTTTATCTGGTTGTTGAAGGGAAGGCTGTGCGCTTGTTTTTCACGTAATGCAGCAGATAGCATATTTTTTAACTGCACACAAGCTTTGTGAATTGCATTTTTTTTTTTTTTTGTTTGCATATATGTGATAAAGATGACCTAGCGAGTACCATTCGGCGTTCAGGAGAAGTTTTCGCGCATCGAAATGTTTGCTTCAGCCAGCTCGGAATACCGAAAATTTTGGCAGTGCTTCTCACTAAAGGCCAGTCATAAAAAAGAACGCAGTGTACTATAGCGTAACATTTCTAGGAAGCCATGAACTGCTGGAGATGGAGGTCGATGCATATCCGAGGCCGTCAATTGAGTGGTTTTTCAATGGGAAACTGCTGGAGGAAAGTCTTACAGTACAAACAGATTTCGATGGACATCTTGCCGTCTTGAAGATCTCCGAGGCTCATACAGAGCACCAAGGCCAATATCTCTGTCGTGTATCCAATAAAGCAGGAACTGCTGAGACACGGTGCAGTATTGTAGTCGAAGGTTTGTTACTGTCGCCTTCTTAAGCCGTTTTTAAAAAAAAAAGAAAGATAGGAAAATTGAAAAAATCTGTGTTTTCTGCAGTAAATGAGCATTTTTGAGAATATAGACTTTTTGAAATGCATTTTAGCAAAAGAGGAATTATATTCTGTTCTTGAGAATCGTGTTTTTAAGAAGAAATAGTGAAAGAAGAACGAGCACCAAAAATGCCGAAGTTTGTGGAAAAGCTGCAAGATGTGACAGTGGAAAATGAGGGTGACACGCTAACACTCAAATGCAAGGTAAAGCAAATAAACGATTGGACTAGCTATACTTAGTTAATTATCAAAGTTTGTTATTCCTGCTTACTTTAGCAATTTGTGAGATGCAATTAGCTCAAAACTTAATCACCTTTCGCGTTTCATTAGCTATAACTGTTCCATCACTTCAAGGTGCTAAGAAATCAAGCCAGTAAAATAGAGTGAAAAGTTATGGAGCAGCAAACACGAGTCTTGAGGATAACAAGCTGGCTAGACTTTCCGGCTGTGCCGGGAGTGAGAGGTTATGATGAATACGATTTGGTTCTAACAATTCAAACCTACGGCAGCACATTGCGACTTACAAAACTAGACTTCCTTTTGAGTCGACGCAAATTTGGCATAATGAGTATGAATCATCGAAGTTTTGTCCTGAAATGTCAGTTGTTGCTAGCTGTAGAGGTATCCGACTTTTTCCCTTTTATTTGCTGGGACTTAACTGTCACTTTTTTTCAGTTTTAACAAAATTACTGTAATAAGCGTGCATGCCCAGTCCATATGGTACCTCACTGTGGACTTGGAATGGTAGCTTTTAAAACAAGGTTGTGATGCTCAACACGCACACACACACACACACACACACACACCAGTCCAATGACTCCCGAAATGGCTAGATCCTTGGTAGCAGCTTTTGTCGGGCGGCATGCTGGAATCAGGTTATGCAACATCGATGAGAATTACTGAAAATTGCCAGATGCACACTTACAGAACCAGGCCATGAATTGTAGTTGATCAAAATATCAAAGCACCGGAGACAAAATTTTTTTTTTTTAAAGGTAAATGATGAGCTTTAAAATAGTTGTAAATGCCAAACTTACGGGAAGTCGCTTTACCTATGCCTGAGTATGCTCACTTTTTTTGTTCCAGGTTGTTAGTGAGCCGGAGGCCGAAGTCGTTTGGCTACTGAACGGTAAGGCAATTCGACATGATGACGACAATGCGCGTAGCCGCGTTTTTGACGACGGCATTTGTGTGCTGGAAATCCTTCGTGTCACAGCAGAAACGTGTGGTACATATACAGCTGTGGCGCATAACATCCTCGGCGATGCGCATACCAGTGCAGAAGTATCGCTCGGTGCTACTGGTAGATTTTGTTCTGTCTTTTTATTCAGCTAAAGTGATGTGCTGGACACAGCACACCTGGCGGTGCGGAGTTCACCCTAGAGGAGAAGATATTTTCTTCATTCAGAAGCGTGCGCTAAATCCTGTATTTTTATTCAACTGTTGTTTTCAAACGCTTTTCATTAATTTATTGCTTAAAAGTTCACTACAAATTTGTCAGTGCTTATCTCACGGAATTCCGTTACCCACTAGAAGTTTTTTTTGTCGGAAAAAATCACAAGGCTGCGCATGTGCTTCAGTTAGGACAGCCAATTGCTCTTAGTGTCGTCTGTTTTCTTAAATCCATGTAACTGATAGCTGCGACGAAATAAGTAAGGCATTTTTTTCGGGATTATTGTAAATTCTTTTTTTTTTCCGTTTCTTTCCTAAATTACCGGTTTGTTGCAGTACCAACAAAACCTGCTGTTGCGCCATTCTTCGTGATAGCACCTAAAGAACAAATGGAAGTTGAGGAAGGCTCCGTTCTGTCGCTGGTTTGTGATATTGATGGCGAGCCAGAGCCACGAGGTTTCTTTTACATTCATGACCCATTCTAGTCAGACTTCCACGCTACGCTTGAAGTGCTCAGACAATTGGGTTTTTTTTTGAAGTGAGGTGGCTCAAGGATCAGCGTGTGATCGAAGACGCTCGAGTGGCAATCCACAAGGACGGCATTAGTCACCAGCTCATCATATCTCCCGTCCTGCTTAACGATAAAGCAATCTATACTGTTGAAGCTGAAAATGAAAGCGGTAAAATAGATGGCACCATTGAAGTGCTGATTGTTCCCAGAAAGTAAGTAAAAATCATGACTGTTTCCAGAAAACAAATAAAAATTATACAAAAAAATCAGTCACATTTTTGTTGGGATTAGCCACGGTTTTCCATATTTATGCACTAAACTAGTTTGAAAAATGACCAAAAAATAGCAACAGGTACATCTTTCTTTTCATTTTCTTCAGTTTCTTCCAAGTATGCCGTATTTGCTTGGCTGGGGCCCATCTTTTTCCTGGACCTGAATATGCAGATACTGGGATTAACTCTGAAGCATGCGTTACGTTTGCCAGCCGTCCATAATTTGCACTAAGGTGTGAATGAAACTGTGACAATTTCCCTTGATGACCTAGAAATAATTTCAGAGAACCAGAACCGGCCAAAGAAGACCTAGGTATATTGCCACCTGAGGCTCCAGTCGGTGAGCCGTTTGCTGCAAAACTTTACAAAAACGGCTTGCTGCTGCGATGGGACGCTCCCGAGGAGGATGGAGGCGCAACGATTGACAGCTACATTGTTGAGCAACGAAGGTACAGCACACTGTGATTTTGACTCCATCGAGACGCTGGTATTCCAATTTGATAATTTTGTGGAGTGTTTTTTTAGGCCTGATGACCGTACGTGGACACAAGTTGGTCAGAGTCCAAAGACGGAAATAAAAGTCGACGGTTTGCAACCGAATACCGAATATTTGTTCCGTGTTGCTGCAAAAAATAAGGTACAGCGTTATTACCTATTGTGTTTGCGCAGACTGTAAAAATACGTTTTTTAGTGAGGAAAAGACTTATGCAGAGGTAGCAGAAAAGGCATAGGATTTTCACTCTACATTTGTTTTAACGAAACAATGAAATTAAAGGAGCAAATGAGGCAAAAGACTGCAGCTAAAATCGTTCAAAAATTGACCGAACTGAACTCTACCTTATCCAGGAAACCGCGATAAATGGCATTCTAATATTTTTTACTAGCTCACTGCCTACATCTTTGTCATTTTCAGCGAGTTGGCTTCATACATAATCAGTCTGAACCATGTATTTTTTTATAGCGCAGTTTAGTGCTTCCTGGCTGATTTCAGTGGCCTTGGGTCTCTTGTCTCAGTTTTTCATTTTTTTTTTCCGTGTGTGGACAATTTGGCATTCTCTGAGAAAGATAGAAGCTGCCATTTCTCCCTTCCTTTAGTTTCTCCAAATGAACTTCCCGGAATGCGCAACTGCTAAAAATACCGATCATTTATCTTGTCATTTGCAGGCCGGTCAGGGAGCTTATTCGCCAGTGTCATCGGCTATCAAAACTCTTGCAGCGGGCAAAAAGCCGGTATTTACAAAGGTCCCACCGGCGGCAGTACTGATTAGTGGCAGTGAAAGCGTCGAGCTTGTCGCTGAGTTTGATGGTGAACCAGCACCGTCTGTCAAATGGTACCACAATGGCCGAGAAATAGTTGGCACAAGGAACGATGTAGAAATTACGACTGCTCGGGGCAAATGGAGCAAATTGGTCATCAGGGTTCTGGAACTGGACGTCCACGCTGGCCGTTATTCGTGCCACATCGAAAATGAATATGGTGAAGCGGTGTGTGAAACATGGCTTACCAAGCAAAAGGTATGCCTGCTTTATCCTTTAAACCTCATTTGCAACCTGCCGAAATTCTGCTTCCTTCCATCTCTGAACGACGGAGCTTTGTTAGACTTGTATTTACAAATATATTCTTCTTTCAGTATTATCAACTGCACCCCACCTTTTTTTCGCCAATAATCTTTCGTTTTCTTCTCAAGTTATTTCCTATAACTCTGCATATCACTCCTTATTTTTAGTCTGTTAGTTGATTGGTGTAAATGTTGCTGTGAATGAACTGATGGAAAAGGGAAAAGTTTTTCAGCCAGTACCAATAAACCAGCTTGCATTATTTGAAATGTGCAAGATGGGATTTGTTTAGATAGGTTCGGCGGCTGAAGATTTACTGGCAGCAGTAGAAACTGAAGTGATGGAGGGCGCACCGCAGATTGTCACAGAACTTTCGAACGAAACTGTCACAGCTGGACAACAATTCATACTTACCTGTAAAGCGCTTTCCACACCAAAAGGCGTCATATCCTGGTTCAAAAACGATGAGCGATTGGCGTAAGTTTCTTCTTTCGTCAAAAATGCTAGCATAATCGGCATGGGTAGCCGCCGGATATGCTTAAAAATATTAATTTAAGTCTCGAGATTTAAAATTTACTACTCTAAACCAGTGGGCATTCTGCAGCTGGAAGTAGCACTTTTATCGTCTAGTAAGCGAGGATTCAATCTATCAGTGGGATAATCAATCCCTCTGCGATTCATTCATTCATTTCGATTGTAAGTTAGTGCTGACATATGTCAGGAAGTCAGATCCGCGGTCAGCTTGCTTCCAAGCAATCCTCGAAAGAGTGAGCCACTGACAGCTTTGCTAGCGGTTGCCTACTGTTGGCATTTGCCACCACTTGAGCTACTTCCTGAGTGTTTTCGCCTCTTACTGAAAACGAATGGCTGAGTTTTGCCTTTTCTCTACTGCTAAACTTGTGGGCATTTTTTAAAAATTACCAAATACTTGAAGTTTCTTTTCAACAGAATTGTCATTCATTTTCTGAACCTGATCTTTCTTGTGAAGTATTCCAAACAGCTTTTTGTTTACACTGAATTTGATCTCCCACTAGGTTAAACCAATTTGCAGCTCGGTAGGCCGTTATGAAATGCAGGAGCAGGATGGTGTGTTTAAGCTTATATGCCATCGTGCTCAAAATAGCGATAATGCCACCTATCGCTGCGTTCTAACAAATTCCATTGGTATTGCTCAGTCAGCATGCCAGGTATGTCTTCAGTATCGATGCTGATAGTCGCTAACTGCTGTTCTTCAAAAATCTGGAGAGAGGAAAATCACTGAAGGCCAACACCGTCCAAACAATTTGCGTGGGAAACTAATGTTGGTGATGCTGTGAAACTGTTTCCACACGTCGATAAAAACTCTGTCTGGCCCTTTGATCCTGGGATATATAATTTTAGCTAGCTTCTATCACCTTTTCGATGTAGACGTACCATCTTTAATATGCATTTCTCAGCAAAGAAGACTCCTGCTCTTGGCTTTTCCCGTTCTATTTGCGCTGTCGGAAATTTTCTAGCTTTTAGAATGTCCAAGCAGAAATGAAAAAATACTAGCTTTTTTTGGTTACGCAAGTATCTTGAAAATTTTCATACCTGAATTATTGTTAGGTAACTGTTGTCGAACGGATGCCACTTATGGCACCCAAATTTGAAACGCTACTGACTGACAAGACAGTATTATCTGGAAAAGAGATCAAACTAAAATGTCGCGTAACTGGCGATCCCGAACCTCAAGTAAGCATGTTTTTTAATAATTTTTTCTTACTATTTTTCTAAATATATCAGATCGATAGCCTAATTTGTGTATCGCAGCGCATGCGTCACTGTTTTCATTTACATAGAACAAATGGTCCTTTCTCCTTTTAACCCAGACACGCAGTTGATAAGAATGTGAAGGGGACGATAGAGGCTTAGAAGAGGTATGATTTTTTTATATTTTTGCATCTTTCTGTGAAGTCACTTTTCTACACTTTTCGAATTTGATTCTCGGTTTTTTGATTTAAAAAGAGCGTTTGACTCTGTAGGCTCGTGTCAACATATGGAGTGTTGATGAGCCGTTTTTATTGCTTATTAGCTGTTTTTGTGCTCAGAGATGGTTGAAGAATTTGTTGCAGATATTATGGATGAAGGATGGTATTCGGATAAGCACAAGCAGTCACCAGAAGCTGGAGTTCACAGAGGACGGCTGGTGTTCGCTGACGATTTTCAACTGCACAGCAAACGACACTGGTGTATATCTATGCACTGCGCAAAATCTACTGGGCGTTGAGAGCTCCCAGTCGATGATAACCGTGGCTGATACTGCTGGGCCTGATTCACATTTGATCACGGCAGAAGATAAGCAAGTGCAGTACAGCAAGCCAAGATTCACGCGTACGCCCGGTGCATTGATTGAAACCACTGAAGGATCAACAGTTCGTTCTCTTTTTTTGGCTACATTTGTTAAGGCACGCATCCAGGATCGGAGAAGAGTTGCCGGACTAATTCAGTGCCCCTTAACCAAGACAGCTTTTCTTGCTATTGTGGCCTACCCCGGTGTCTTTCTTCTAAAACAATACTCAGAAGAAGGAACTTTCAGCACCACTGCCTGGGCCAGCAGGCTTCGATGTTGATAGATTCCTTTCCTGAGTATTGCTGTAGGTGCACCACAATTGGATTTGAGCTACCATGGATGGAATTTCGTACCAACTTTTAGCTGTTCTGTCTCTGATATGCCACTGTAATTTTTTGCCGAAAAAGATTTTCCTGATCAAAAGAAGACTATAAAATAGCAAACTGTGATATATCAAAAAAGCATTTCGAGCCTTTTTGACTTCTTTTCGATGCATTATTTTAAATTTTGCTGCCTTCGTTTTTTTTAAGAGAGGACTTTCAGGTAAAACTGGTAAGTCGTGCGATAGGTCAGCCTACACCGCTTGTCAAGTGGCTGAAAGACGGAAAAGAGGTAAATATTATTACGATACACATCCATGTCCTAGTTTTGTTTTTCGGGAAAAATTTTCTGTCAGACGTTGTCTTTTACTATTACATTTTAAATGCTTGTATTTTTCAAAATTCTTGAAGGAAATTAATCTGCTTTTCGAGTTTTGCCTTTAGTTCATTCCTCTAGCATTGCTTACGTTGGCGGTTTTCAAATACAGCAGCTGTGGACGAACATGCTGAGCTTTTTCTGCACACTGAAAAAGCTATTCACTGTGACGTAGTAGTCCTGGGCAATGTTCTGTATCGAATTTCAGTCGGTGGCTTTAACCGAGTGCTACATTCCTTTTTTTTCTAGTTTATAGGTCTTTTGTTTTAAATGGATATTGACACTGTCGCTTTTTTCTTATCCAAGAAATAGGGAGACGATCGCTTCATTTGCTGAATTGGGATGCTGCAAATTAAAGTATTAGAAGTTTCTAGAAAACGAAACTAAAATTCACTGTGTTCTGCTCGAAAAGTAAGGCAAAAAAAAGAAGAAAAAGTCACTTTCTTTCCACTTTCCTTTCCCTTTCTCCTCTTCGTTTGCATTCGCTCCATCGCCTTTTCGTATTTTTTTTTTATCGCTGTACTACTGTCTCTAGAAAAGGAAAATTAGTTTTGAGAGTTCCTAGGGTTATTTTTGTCAGTCTTTACGACTTTATAGAAGCTGCATTCATCTGTTGAATCGGTCTGACAGTTTAGTGCGCATTGGCAGTGTGTTCAGTTTTTGGGATTACAAATCTCCGATTGATCGGCTCTGTTTGAGAGAACTGGATATAGTGTAGATTTGAGAATGTTTTAGCTTGGTTGTACATTCAAGTCTTGTGCCAGCTGCATTGCACACATTTATTTGCAGCACACAGCATTTAGTTTAAAGAAGTGAAACATGATGAGATCGTTAACTGAAAAATGAGGCTGCTGAAGTTTCTGGACGCCGAGTCATTCACTAATAGTTAGGGCCTGTGGATGATGTAATCAGACAGCAGCTGTCCCAGATGTGAAGCTTCTGCATACTGATCCGCATCTGCTTTGCATAATGCTGCAAGCGGCTCATTCCGCAGCTCCGTCTGTGTAACGATCTGAAATTTTTCTACTGCCCCTCTGTTGCTGGATAATACAACAAAATGCCGGAATTGGTGTCTGATGATGCCAGACTACGCCGCAAGGCAGTCTCTTTCAACTGCCCAATCACGGAGCGTTACTCTTTGGGTAAAAAAGTATTGAAGCAATCGCTCGGTGAAAAAGTATAAATTTTTTTTTAAATGTGTTTCATTCGAAACCTCCTTTTTTATGCTTCAAGCAATCATTGCCTAGCTTTCGTAGCTGCTCAGAGTGGAAAAGGAAGTTACATAGCCAGACTTTTTTATCAACAGGGAAGGGGAGGTGGAGGGAGCACTTTTGGGAATCAGAACCACATTTTACAGATGTGACAGTCATAATTTTAATTTCTCACAACTGACGAATGTTATTATTAAAAATGAAAAATTTTGCAGTTTTAATATTATTTAGTTCACAGCTGCAATGCAAAAATTGTTGTTCAGGTGACAAAAGTGAACCGTGCATACGAGATCCGTTTAACTGGAGAAGGCGAATCGGTACTTGTTATTGCTTGTGCTGTTGCTAAAACAGCTGGAACATTCAAATGTGTTGCTGAAAATTGCGAAGGTTCGGAAAGCGTTGAAACACGACTTGTCGTACACTGTAAGTATGCAAATAGCTATGTTTTTTGAACTTCTTAAATTGTTTTGGCCGAGTTTTCTGAGGATTTTCAAGAAATTACTTGAATAGATTTTGTTTCAAAATTCGGAACTGCATTCAGCAAAGTATGTTTCTGATAATCAATTCGTGGAGCAATGCTGACATTTCAAAAAAGAATGAAATAAGTTGTAATGTTTGCAATTTTTAACTGACTTCAGTAGTTGGCCTGTGTGTCGCAAATTTCCCACAGTATCCTCTAATTCAGTTTTAAAAAAAATTGCTTTTACTCCACTCCTATTCCACTTTTTAAAATGCTTTTATATAGAAAATGTACACTTTTTGAACTTTAAAATATTTTTCACAGTTTTGTACTTGCATGCACTAGCTTACCGGACACTAACACGAAGAGTTGAAAGCAAAGCAAATACGGCAACTTTGATACTAGCTTGAAAACAAACCTTTTTTTAAATTTATTTTGATTCCTCAGCTCTGTTCACGGTCCTAGCATAGTTTGGCACGTCCCTTTTAAATTTGCCATTTGTTGGCTTGTCGTCTAGTATTTCCAAATTTTCAACCTTTTGTGACTATTCATTACTATTCGATGTATTACATTCTCATCGCTTCTTATGCATCCAGTACAAATACCAGCTATACTTTCCTGCGCTTTCCCGTGGTGGCCAACATCAGTAGGAAAATATATCTCGCAAGAACTGGTCGTATGGGAGGCACTGGACTTTGGATGCGAATGTTCGCATAATCCACTGCTTCCAAGCAAAAAATCAATCCGCTCCATTTTCGTAGAGAGAACATAAAAAACGCAAGGAGTTAACGACAACTGGCTGCAAAAATCGTGAAACTTGGCAGAATTGGGTAGTTCAGTAGTCCCGGGCCATCTCGGAACAGTCTTTCCAGACTAGCTTTGCATTCGTCCTGCAGCTGCTGGAGACAAGTATGCGAACATACGGACCAGAGGTGAAGAGGGTCAGCGCATAAAGCAATTTTGGTCACTAGCCGCATAAAGCCCTGTATATGCAGATACATTTTTTCAAAATAGTATATGTAGCGGCAGTTGTTTCACGATACTGCAAAATTTTAGGTTGCTTTTAAATTCAAATGCAAGTGGTTACTTTGTGGCTATTCCGACAGCTTCTGTTGCATTCCTTACAGTGAAAATTGCAGCCCATCTGCACAAACAACCAGGAAAAGAACCGCCGAGCTTCACAACAGAATTGACGGACATGGGTGTTGCACTTGGACATCCGGTAACGCTGAAGTGCTGCGTGCATGGTGTTCCAGAGCCTCAACTTAAGGTACCTAGTCCTCCAGCGAATGTGCATTTTCAAAGTTTTTCAATAGTGAAGGCATTTGTTTACATTTAATATTGATAAACAACGAGATTTTGATTTGCGTTTGCTCCTTTTCTTTCACGAAGTTTATTGTGATATATATATATATATATATACATATATATACGGTCATTTTATATATATAAATATAAAATGACCATATATGAAGTGGCATATATAAAATGATATATGATAATATATAAAATGATGATATATAAAAAATGATCATTCAGAGTGTCAGGAAGTGCACTCTTTTGAAATTACCGTTGCAAGAAGTCCGACCACTGATACCATCGTTATGTTTAATGGCCCAGTTGAGGGGCTAAAATGTGACGGGATGAACTGTCGCCTATTAGCCAAATGAAGCCCATTTGTAATAGTGCTTCAAAGTGGTGTTATTATAAGTCTGTTTATGGAAAAGATTCTTTTTCAACGCTGACTTTTGACTTAAAAAAAAAGCAATTCTCTACGACCTTCTTGCCAATAATCCACTGTTTTATGCTTGCCGCTGCTGCTTAATTTGTGTTTTGCATACTTCTGGAGCAAAGAGTATACTATCGACAATTTTGCAAACCGCCGCGCGCGCTAGTTAAAACGTAGTGTGCTGTGTCACAGGGTTGGACAAATTAGTCTTTCCTGATGGGGTCTTTTTGAACGGTAGAAATGTCAGCTATCAAAAACAGTTTCAGAATTATTTTAAGAGCATAAATTTGACGAAGAACTGTTTTGCTTGCAGCCGCAAGAAATATATCAGTTTCACGTAACTGACTTTTTAGTGGATCTTTATTAACGATGCGCAGCAGACGACAGTGTTACGTTCCGCTGCCGATTCCGCTTGGATCGAATGCCGTCGGGGCGAGACATGTGAAATGAAAACCGAAAGCGTAGTGAGCACACAGCAAGGCACATATCAGTGCGTTGCCTTCAACGAACACGGAACGGCCATGACTCAATGCTATTTGCTTGTTGGAGGTAACCGTCCTGTTTTAACGTAGTTCTTGCAAAGCCGAAATTGGAAAGCGTGTTTCCAGTTTATGCGTAAATAGTGTCCGTAATAGGGCTAGTGGCAGAAAACGAGGAAGAAGTACTTCACTGCCTGAGGGACTGCGTTGCATTTTCGATTATTAAATGTTAGATATTATAGTCAGGAACAACTGCATATCTAATTCTATCATCACAAAAGTGAAAACACCATGTAGATGTAAACTGGCCATGGGTTTTTTCGATGTAGAATGGTTGTTGCTGCAAAAGAATTGGTACTTCAGAGCCGACCGATCAACCAGCTGGACCGCCTCGCTTCCTGAAGTGTATTCGTGACGTCTGGAGTCCGCTGGGTGAAAATATTGAGTTTGAAGTTGAAGTGAGCGGCTATCCGTTACCGGAACTGACATGGTATCATATGGACGAAAGAGTTATTGAAGATAAAAATGTTCAGGTTTGTACTTCTGTTAATTTCTTCTGAAATATTATAGTTTTGTTACTTTTGAAAATTCGGAAAATTTTTGCGCAGAAACAGGCTCTTTGATAAAGCAGAGACTGTTTTATAAAAGTATGAGCAAATTTGTTCCAATGAGCCTTTATTTACAGATCACATACGTTACTCCAACTAAGTGCCAACTCAAAATCACCAGCATCGGCTTACGTCATCTGGGCAGTTATTCCGTAGAAGCGGCAAATGTTCATGGTATAGTGCGAACAACTGCGTCACTCAATGTTGGAAGGAAACGAGGCGAAGCGGAACCACCTAAGTTCCATGAAGGTTCGTCATCGGAAATTCTTACTTTCAGTCCCAACAAAGAGAAATAGTTTCGTAATTTGGGGCTGTTTCGCACTCGGTGGGTCGAATTCCGACCCCCAAGTACTTCAAAATAGTCTAAAAACACATCTTGTGGGTGTAATTTGCGTGCGCTGGAAAAACTAAAAATCCCCACTAGAAGTTTAGGTCGAATGCACGTTTTCTGCAATCTGACAAGTGTGTTGAAAGTGGGTGCGCAATTACATACTGATAGTGAATATGTTGAACAGACTCGGTCTTTGGGTCTATCGGATGATTTTAAAAGTCAAAGTTTATAATTGATTGCCCTACATTGCTTTTAAGCTAATGTTCACCGTCAGTCCGATTTGAGGTTATAACTTAGTTTACAGATTAAACCCTGAGGTTGATTGGAGGGCTGGCATGAGGTGCGTTGTCCTGAGACTTAAACCTTTCAGATATTGAGGAGCTTATTCCTACTTATTCTCTAGTTACTGTCATAGCATATTTTTAGGTTTAAAGTAGAGGTTAGGACATAGGTGAGCGTAAAAGTCGGTTCAGGTCTCTTCCTCTTGGATTATTTACGCAAAATTCTCTCACTTAGCTATCGAACTGAAATATCCCAGCGCATCCACAAACCCGATCTCGCTCTTGTTTATCCGGTTTCTGCAAACACTTGCAAAAACTGACAACTTACATATGGCGCCGTCGGAAGCTTCTAGAGTAATCGTATCCTGAAGTAGCAATGGCCTTTGAAGAACCTTATTCAGGGCTGGATGAACAACTCTATTGTTTACCCTAAATCACCCTTAACTTTACGCGTATGATTTGGTAACGCTAGCACACTGCAGCACTTTAATAGAGATTTCGTTGCAGATTTTGAAAAGAAACTCATAACAGTTGCGCCGTCAGGAGTTCCAGCTGGCGACATGGAAGGCCTGGCAAAGCCAGGATTGCGCGAAGTAAATTTTCTTGTAAAAATGATGCTGTGTTCCACGAATCCTTCAATCGCCAACAATGTGTTGGTGGCCTTCCGAATTTTGTGGCTTATCCAGGAAAAGCGCTCCTTGACATCAAATTTTGTGGGCATGCGAAATGGCTTTAACTGAATTTGCCTAGTAGCATTTATTGTGAATTACTTTTCTCAGCAAACTGTTTACAGGCAGCAGGTCAACGTCAGAAGCCATCACGCCTGGATGTTAAGCGTAAAGGAGCAGCACCAGCATTCCTGATTGGTTTGGAAGATCTTGAGCTACGTGAAGGTGACGCTGCTGCGCTGGCCGGAACCGTTGCCAAAAGTAAAGCTTTGCTGTTATTAACTCTACAGACTGTGCAATACAAAGTGATGCTTCCCCTTGACAGTGCAGTTTTTTCAGAAAGACGCCATCGTATTCTCGGAAGAGCGAGGGATGAAAAACGAATGGTGCAAATTGTAGAGCCACCAGAGCTTGATGCCGAAACTTCGAGCAGTTCAGTAGAGCCACAGATCGAAATAACAAGTAAGTTTACTGTTGCTTTGGTGTGCCGTCTTCTGTCGCACGCTTAGGTTCTGGTTTATCAAGAAAGACCTCGAATTTAAATAAGTATCATGCTATTGACACGTTTTGTAGGGAACTGCATTATACTCACTAAACTTTCTGCACATTTGTGAACAAAGGGTTTATGTGTATGCTGGCGTGTTTGAGCCTCGTTTTTTGCAGCACTCGAGGAAATTCGCGCATCGATTGCTGAGCGAAACAAGAATATTTGTCGCCCAAAGTTCATGGTAAAGCCAAAATCAAAAAAATCGATCACGGAGTACAAATCACTGCGCTTGAAAACGGCTATCTCGGCCAATCCAACACCTGTTGTTCGTTGGGATAAAGCTGGAGTGGTTCTGGAAACGGGCAATAAATATTCAATCTACAATGATGGCGACTTCTATTATCTTGAGGTCCCTCCATGTTTAAATTCGACTTGCGCTGAAATGTCCTCAATAATAGAGAAAAACTGCAAAATTTTAGTCAGCGAACGAAGCAATAGTGCAGTGATGAAATCAAACAATCAGGGCTTCCTCCTTCTTCATTCTTTATGAAAAACTGAAGCACTCAAAGGTGGCTCGAGCGAGAGCATTCTCGAATAACAGCTACCTGTTAGCAAGGCTATCTTTGTTTTATCTAAAAAATTGACAGCTTCTGGGAGTTTTGGGCGTTCCAGCTGGAAGTGCATCGAAAAAATGTCATTATTTTGTGCTCAGTGTGCGCCGAATTCGTTTGTGTGGAAATCGAAAACTATAAAGCAAATCGTTGCAGGTGCATCATATGTCGAAAATCGATGAAGGCTTCTATAACTGTACGGCTTCGAATAGTGAAGGTTTTGTAACGAGTACAGCTGAAATTGAAGTTATCGGGACGGAAGGTAGCATCAGAAGACAACGCAAAGAGCCTGCAGCACCCTCATTCATCGAAGTGCTTCCTGGCAAATTAAAGGTACGCTTCACGGAGCACCGTATTATAATGGGCTTGAAATGAAGTTGGTAATAGAATTTTTCGTATTCTGTAAAAAGTCATTTTTTCTCAATCAGCCAGAAGGGCACATTTGCAGGCAACAAATGGTGATCCGGTGACTGTGGAATGCAGCGTGTCCGGTTATCCGGCCCCAGCAATACAGTGGCTTCGAAATGGTGCCGAACTTACGCCGCAACATGATCGCTATACCATATCGTATGATGGCGAAACAACGACCCTCAAATTTGTCAGTATTGCTACGTCTGATACTGGGAAATATGTTTGTGTTGCGAGCAATCAACATGGCGAAGCTAAAACAGCAATGCAGCTTGATGTTGAACCGCGAAGATTGCCACCGACTGGTGGTACTCCGCCTAAGTTCCACATCGACAAAAGGCGAGAAGTTATTAGGGCTTCAGACGGTGATCGAGTTGTGTTGACTGCTGATCTACTGGAAGGTTTGTTTCGTTTTGTTGCTGAAGCAAATTAAGTAAAACTTGAGTTTTAGCCATCTTGACTTGTATATACCTGTGCATATGTCACTTCATACTTTGGTTCTCCAACTATGCAGCTGACCAACCTAGTTGCTTCGACCAATACTGTATCGTCTACTAGCTAATCTGCATTGATTTTCCCTTCGTTTTCTTAAGAATCCTAGCTCAGCCATTCATCTAGCAGAAGCATCTGACGAAGCTTTAATTACTTCCTGATAAGTGTTCCTATTGTGTGTTGAGCATCATCGTCCCTTTCGGAATACTGCTATTTCTAGACCACGACTGAGAGAATTTAAGTATTTCCCCTGAGCGAGATCTAAAAGTTGCTTTAAGTGCCCCAGTTCTTGTTAGTGGCTAGTTTTCAATACTTTTTCTCATTTCTGCGTATTATCAGCAAAAATATTTTTCTTGTTTTAATCAAATTAAATTGTAGGCTCGGAACCGCTGACAGTGCGTTGGATACGCAACAGAATGGAAGTGCAAGATTCCAGTGGATTTGCGTATTTGCGGGAGGAGGCTAACTGCTCACTGATTATAGCAGATGCGTTTCCAGAAGATGCAGGAGTGTATACATGCGAGGCTAGCAATGAATTTGGTAGCGCCAAATGTAATATTCGGCTCATCATAACAGGTTTCTTTCTTGCTTTGGATCATTTCAAATGCATCAGTGAATATGCCATGAATGGATGTTGCCTATCCATAATAAGAGCAGACATCAGAAGTAAACTTTACCTGCTGTGTGGAGAATCACTGCTCTGCCTCGCTCAAGACGCAAGGCTCAGTGGATATGTAAAAAAATGAGAATTTAGCATTTTCAAAAAATTTACTTTCAGAGCGAAGAAAGAAAAGCGTGTATGAAAGTCCACCTGCTATCATCAACGCACCAACAAACGTGAGCGTTGAACCTGGAAATGATTTGAGTGTGTCGCTGACGGTTCGGGGCTATCCTGAACCGGCAGTGGTTTGGACCAAAAATGCAGCTGCAATCTCATCCGATGAAAAACATCAGGTGTTGTCTAATGTTTGACTAAATTTTGTGCATTACAAGATCGCCTAGGCTTTCGATATTCTAAAAATGTGCGGAATGCAGTCTTGTTAAGCTGTCCTGTCTTGGTCCCTCTCACCAGCATGAGCAACTCTTCTGAATCAGTCCGAATGAATATCGTTGCTTTTTTGGAAAAAACAAGTCACTATCGCCGCATGTGAGCATCCACTGGTGATTGGTTTTATTTAGACGTGCCTTCGTGATTCTGGCAAAGAGCATCATCCAGAAGCAGCGTGTTCCAGCCAGAATCACAGTCTATTTCCTTTTAAGGTGTTCCCGTGTAGAGACTGAATTTTCTACTTCTACGAACAAATTTATTACAGTGTTACACTTTTCAGTAAATTTTGAACTTATCTGACAAAATTTTGAACCTATCTGACAGAAAATTCCATTCGAAGCTTTGTCCTAACTTCACAAACGGCTTCACGCCCTTCGAAAATTCCGCTGATCCCAAAAAGAACATTAGCTCCAACGTTTGTTTTAAGGACTTCGTTCGCATAAATTTGAACAATAGCTATACATTCTTTTGGTCTTCAAATTTAAGGAGCCGGGTAACGGTTAATTTCATTAATGGAAGTCTGGATAGATGTGTTGTACTTACAGATGAGCAACAGTGGAGAAGTGTTCACATTGACAGTCCTGAACTGCACTGGTGAAGATGCCGGTAAGTACGAACTGCAAGCTATCAACAGCTCCGGCACAGCAACAGCACTTATCACCGTTCAGGTCACTGAAGTCACCAAGTAAGTTAGCACTTTGTTCAATCAAAATCAAGCAATTATCTGTATGGCTTGAGAACGGTCATGGATTGTTTTGGAAGCGACGGTTGCTGCTCCATGCTTTTCCAGATTGCAGGCTTCTGGTGGAAATGCATCAGAGTCGTGCAGCAATATAACTTGCACATTTAAAGAAGAAAGCTCTAAAGAGCTGTTAATCCACAGTGCATCCTTTGTGCCTAGAATACTCGGAAAAGCTGTTAATTTTTCTGTAGGTGGTGATGGTGGTAGTGGAGGGGTGAGGCAAAGTAGGCTTGGATTTAAATTTGTGCGTGAAATGCTTTGACCAGCACTGCCTCAGCCTATTGTCGATCTTGGCGTTTATCAAAGCTATTATCAGCTCATTCGTTCTCCCGATAGAATTATCTGACAATTTTGAGAAGCTCTTATTGTCTTCTGGGCGTCAACACCCCTTTCGAATGTTGACACTACTAGATCACGATGAAATGCCTAATGAAAATGTTCTAAAATGTGTTTTCAGCTTGGATGTTGTATTGCCGCGATTCACCAAACTGCCAATTTCTGTTCAAAGTGCAATTGGGCAAAAAACTACTCTGAGTTGTAATTTCAAGGTAAATTATAATTTCTTGCACATATTATTGCGCAAGAAATTAGCTCATTTCTTGCGCATATTATTGGTTGCAGATGGGTTACTGCGAGTGAAACTTTTGTTGGATCATTTGCACTAAAGCGTTTTTACAGGGCTTGCAACCAACAGTGACATGGTTTCACGGCGATGAGAAATTAACAAGCGGTCGTCATGGGATTGAAATAGTCTCAACATCCACTTCCTCAACACTCTCTATACTGCAGCTAACTGAAGAACATCTTGGTGAATATCTGTGCACAATCCGTAATGAGTACGGAGAAGATCTGGCAAAAGCTGTTATCCTCCTTGAAGGTGCCAATCTCTGTTTTGTTTTTTGTCCGTATGTTCAAATTAAACCCACACTTTTGGCAGTAGGCTTTGTGGGACTGAAAATGTCATTACTTAGAGATAATTAATACTGTGGGAAATTCGTGTTGTGCTGATAATCTCGGAATTAAAACAAGCATAAATCCTCACTGTAGTTCTCAGCAAATAAATATGGCTATTTTCGCTGCTCTTGATCAAGGATACCGACATCTCTGTCTAAGGTGGCATAAAAATTTCAGTAACAAAAGAGCCTAAAGGCCGCAGTGATATGTTTGTATCTGTGCTTCTTTCCAGATAATTCAAATTCAAAATTTCGAAATGAGACAGATGAAATTCTGGTTGTGTGCTGAGAGCCATGAACTTGATTCTAGGCTAAAGCATTTGTTTTTGTGCCGAAATTTCGACGAAATTCATAATTAGTTGCAAATTCGAAAATTGGAAGAATCTGCTTCTTTGCGGTGAAGTTAGTATCCCAAAACGGCTGTGCCCCGTTCGAAGGATCTGTGGTTCCGTTTTTGTTCTGCAGTATTCGTTAATTAATTAGCTAATAGTGCTACGGAATAATGTTTGCAGGTTCATCTGTGGCGCTACCCTTGCTGGCAACAACTAGCAAGTGAGTTTGGAGGAACGAATGCTTCCAGACTAGGAATCGATTCTTTGTGTATTTCATCGTTTAAATCTGCTCGTCATCCATGCGTCCAACACCATCGACGACAGTAAGTTCAACTGTTCCAACTGCACACCGAAGCAAGTACCATCTGAATGGAGAAAATGCGCACACACATACTTTATAGCAAGTACCATCTTCACATTACGCCTTATAGACGATGGGTGCTTGCGCCTCCGAGAACCGGCTGGCTTATGTTTTGATCAAATCTCGGAACACGGAGGTGCGCGCTCAACAACCAAACATTTTGTATAAATGCGTGTACGTGTATGTGCGTGTTGTCCGCGGCAAATGTATCATTTTTCAGTTGATGTCTTAAGGCATTCGGCTTAGCTGCATTCCGGAAGAAATGGCTGAGGACTGTGAGCGGCGGCAGGCAGCTCAGTTACTTCCTAGGATTGTGTTCTCGCAAAAATGTGAAAAACAGCGATCATATTGCCAATGAGCAGTTGCTCTCTGGAATGCGCCAAGCCTTATGTTATTCACAGTACAGCAATTATTAATGTAATCGGAATTGCAAGTGTTCTTGTAGAAACCGGTGATGCTGTTCGCGCTGAGGCTCTAGGCTTCACCGTACAACAACGTATCGCCATGTTTGTTTTGCCATGTTGGACAACCGCTGTACATAATATAAATGAGTTGGTCGTAGATTGTATGCATGCCATTGTCGCAGGCGCGTACACTGGACTTCGAAAAATGCATGTCATCTCATTTCGCCTTTTGCTTCCTCGACACTTTTCGCCCTAATCCCACGAACGCATTTCTTGCTTTTTAAAGAGATTAAGCATTCTGAAGCAGCAACAGCATCTGGCACTTTTCAAGATGAAATTTACGATTTTTTGAAAAGGTTGATTTTCTTAACATTCCTAGATAGCGAAAGAAAAGAAACCACTTCTACTCTTTTTTACTCTCGTGTACGCCACTGCTTTTCTGGGTGCATCATACAGTTTTTCTAGCAAAAATGGAAACCATCATGATTTATGGCTAATTTATTATTGGCACTTAACGTGTTTTATGTGAGGGAGAGAGGGAGTGAGCCTTAATTTTTGTTATCTCGTTAAAGTCCAGCAAGACTGAAGCCCATCCAATCAGCTGCGCTAATTTCACACGGTTCTTGTCTAGTGAGGCTTGTATTTCGTAGGCGTACAGATATTTGCACTTTTTGGCACTGCCTCGTAAAAACCAAGCTTCTACTCTTCACTGAATGCATTTTCAAAAAGTTCAACATGCCTGTGCATAAAACAATTTAGGACAATGAAAAGAAAATGCACGGATAAGCAGATATCAAGTGCAATGTACGTGTGTTTGTGCCGGCGACTTTATATGTCTGTGTACGTTTCTGTCAGCTTATTTGCGGAGAATTTGACCCCTTTTTTCGCGGAATCGGATCATGTTTTCGCTACTTCAAAATTATTAGTTTCGGTTGTTTTTCACTAATCCGGTCATTTTTCTATCCTTCCGCCTCTCTTCCTTGATAAAATTTTGCATAACGAGAGTGTCCATGCATAACACAATCAAAAGGACAATGCATATTTGTTGGACATGCAAAGATTGATGTCTTTATTCAGCTGGTACTTCCGGAAAAATATTGAAACTAGCATAAATCACCATAAATTTTTGCAAAGTAATTTTCCATTTAACAGTCATTCTTTAAAAGTA